ATCAGTAGAAATATTAGTAAGTTTACATTTTTTCCTTTAATTTTTTTTTTCTAATTTTATTTCTTTGTCTCATTGTGTTGGTCAGTACATCCAGTATTATGCTGAAAACTTTTGTTGCTAATGGATAACTTTTTTCTTGGAAGGAATGCTTCTAATTTTTTTTTTATTGTGAATAATATTTTTTTCTAGATATCTTGGTAGGTGATCTTTATCAGTTACAAAAGCTATTTTCTACTCTTAGTTTTCTGTGAAATTCATTTTTATCATAAAAGGTATTGAACGTCATTTTTTTTTTTGCTTAATCTTTTGAGATGATAATATGGTTTTTCTCGTTTAAACCATTAATGTACTGAAATTACAATGATGTATTTTCTGATGTTGAGTAATTCTTAATTTCTTGATTCTTAATAATAAACCATAATAACTTTAACTTCTATAAAAGAGACCACTGGTGGCAATTAGATTTTTTAAAGTGATTTTTGCATTTATGATTATGAATATAATTTAGGCTGAAATTTTTTGTTTTCTTGTACTGCTTTTATCTAGTTTTGTTACCTTAAAAGCTATAGCATCATATTTTCTAAAGCAACTTGTACTAAATAGACACCGTCTTTCCTTAACATTTGAATAGGACTGACTTGTAAAATATCTAGCCTTTTTGACATTTTTGGGGAAGGGGGAGGGAGGAAGGTAAAATGAGGAAGATTTTTTGATAACTCTTTCAATTTTTAAAATAGCCCTAATCTATTTATTTTCTGTATTTATTATACCAAATTTTGCAAGTTATATTTTTCCCAGAAATTTCTTTCTTATCTAGGTTTTTCGATTTATTGTTTTCATAAAATTCTTGCATGATTTTCAAAACTCTCTATTATCTCTTTAGCTATCTCCTTATTTCATTTATTTAATTTTATTTTTTAGATACAGGGTCTTGCTCTATTGTCAGGATGGAGTGCAATGGCATGATCATAGCTCACTGCGGCCTTGAACTCCTGGGCTCAGAAGATCCTCCTCCCTAAGCCTCCCAAGTAGCTGGAAATACAGGCGTGCACTACCATCCTCAGCTGATTTTTAAATTTTTTGTAGAGATGGAGTCTGACTATATTGCCCTGGTTGGTCTTGAACTTCTGGCCTCATGCAATCTTCCCACCTTGGTCTCCCAAAGTGCTGGGATACAGGT